CTGCAATAAACCTTTTAAGACATGAGGTAGGTAAGAGCCAGAACACGTAAAGATTAGTACACAAACCTAAATGTCTGTAATGATCTTATTATTTGTTACATCGTGTTTCCATGGTTGAAATGAAACATTTCTGCAATGATCCTTAAAACAATACAGTCCTGTTTGATTAAACTATATGTTTAAGGGAAAAGGGACCAAAATCATTTTTGTAACCACAGAAAATGACAAAAGTTGTATTTAGCAAAGACGAGTTTTTACAAAAAATGTCCCACGACGAGTTCGTCCAAAATAGTGCACAGAAAAGATCATCTCCGAAATTGAACTAAAACGAACAAATAATCTTATCCGGTCACGATCAACATTAAAATGACCTGACAATCCCAAATTTTAAAAGTTAATTTGTTCTTAAGGGTAGACTTTCTCACACTTCTTGTCTATAGTCTTGTATGCTGCAGCTTGACCTCTGGTCAGCATAGGATGTTTCTTACTCTGTAGAAACAATGACGACATTAGCCCAGTTTCCCGCCGTTTCGGTCCAATAGTCTTGAGTGTTTGCCGCGTTACGCGTTACGCCCCCAACGCGGCTCGCGCTGACTGGACAAATTACTCTATGTACTTCACGTCTTTACTGCGTTGTAGTAGTGCTTATTTCTATTGACTTAGGATACTGTAAATAGATTCTTGTCCAATTGTATAATTGTAATACACCCAATACTACCAACTAAAATGAGGCTCGACTAGACGCGAGTACTTAAGCAAGCACTATAATCACGAAGTTAAACAGAATATGTAAGTCTTCAACTATATATTTAATACGCTAGGCACATTTTTGTCATAATTGTTTTGGAGCGGTGGTGCTACCGATCACCATGTCCAAGGTGTCGTTAGAAAGGTCTTAGCATGTAGTTTTGCCATCAAACAAAAAAAAAAACTTTGGAATTCCATCAGGGCTCTGCCCCAGTGGCCTTCAAAGTTCCCATGTTATTACTAAGGGAGAAAATGTTTGTTTACATTTGAACAGATGAATACTTTGAAATTGACACTAATATTTGAAACAGCTGGTTATACTAAAATTGGAAACATGTGCTATAAGGATTGATAAGATTAGTTAAAAGATTGATGTTTCACTGTTTTAAACCAGTTTTTATTTGCACAAAATCAAAACATAACAAAAAACAAACATTCGACATAATGGAGACTATAAGACGTCGACCAGGACGGCCAATAGGAGGAGGCCGACGAACTTTAACTGGTAGACGCGAACGAAATAAAAATAATACTATTGTTGTTGAAAGCCGAATACAGCAATCGAACTTCCGTGTTGGGTTTAAGTGTGCTCTCCAACAGCCGCCTGAAGATTTAACATTCAATTTAGCACTGATTGGAGGATTGGACACTGTGCTGATAAATAATTGAAAGAGCCGATTTGCAAACTATAGGAAAGTCATAGAACACCACCAAGTAGAAAAAATATAAATAATGTGTATAGAGTTTATAATCGTTGTTATGCACAACCTAATGCGGCTATGAGCACAGAAAACATACTACTATAGTAGTATGTTTTCTGTGCTATGAGTGGGGACCATTTGTAGAAAACGCTAAAAAACTGGATCAGCTTTTGAAAAATGAAAGATATTTACAAGAAGTGTTGATTATATATACTGTAACTGTTATGTACATCGTGAGTATATCCATAATCTTTGAGCCGACTCTTTTAAAGTAATCGGCAATTATGATTGTTATTCGTTTTTAAAATAACGCTTGTAATACTTCTCAATTGCTCTAATTCGAGCAACAGGTACACTAGTGTTGGTTAAATGTCCAGTTACATTTAGTTGGGCTAGATTTCCAAAATATTCCATTTGAGTTGCTTCGACTAGATGTGCACCACTAACCAAATTTAACGATCGCCAAACCCAAAAGTAAACATTGTAGTCATTTTGTTTTGAAAACAATCAGTGGTTATTTTCAAAAGTCCCCAAACCTGATATCTTTGAAACTCTAGAATTAAGTGCCCTTAGGGCTTAATGTCGAGAAGAAGACAGAAAAATTCAACTGTGTATATTGAAAGACTCCCCAGTTTCACAACGATCAAATGGGATATTTTCTAACGTTTAAAGCTCGAACACGGATTTGTTTAGCGTTTACACACTAGGGTGCGTAATTACATTTGTACTGCGGAGATGTGTGTTAATGAATGATATGATAGCTATGTACAGTAAATGGAAAACAATCTTTAACCAGGACCCATCAAACGGATCTTCATTAAACGCCCAATGACAATACAACTGGGGTCACAATAAGCTATTGGATTCCCTGATAATAACTATCAGAAGTTAAAAATAATTATTATCTGAGAACTGAGAGCTATACGGCACTGACTATACAGCACTGATATTTAAAGTGAGCCATAAATTTATAAACTGTCTTATAGAGTTTTGTAATGATGGAGACAACTAATAAACTCAATCAATTTGCGACAATACCACCGAACAACATGTATCTCAAATTCCTTTCTACATGTTTAGTCAGTCAAGTCTTCCTCGTCTGCAGTATTCAGTAGTTACTCACACTTCTTACCTAATGAGAGTGCACAATGTAGTCCGACCAGAAGTTTCGGTCCAGAAATTTAGACAATGAGCAAGTCACAAGCGAACCAAGTCTTCCGACCTGGCGCTGACTCACCTTTCAAAACAATGATCCTGACTACATTTTGGGGTTAATGAACAACTCTATAACTAACTCACGGTGGAAGACGAAGCTCGCACTTTGATCAGGTGAGAATATAGTTCGACCGTTAAGGCAGAGAAAGGAGCTATGAGCTTTGTTTATATTATCATCGTAATTTGATAATTAATTATAAAGTAGCTCAACTGTAAAACTGATAGGTTTGTGTTCTTACTGTTTAATGAAAACCTTAAAGGATTCGTTAAGGGGGAATTGGTTTGATATGCTGACAGAATCAAATATTACAGTAATTTTTAACTACTGTAAGGTTGGTCAAAGTCAAAATTAGACTGTACAGTTTATATAGAATTTTTAACTGAAGATTGTACGTTGCTTACAGCATTCCAGAAGATGTTTAATTCTTACAGATATCTTGTTTTTTCTTTCTTAAAGTTTATGTTATTTTTGGTAATCATACATTATAAGTACCTCATCTGGTCTTAAAACACAAACTATTGAACTATTTTACATTTAAAAGTAAGTATGAAATAGCTTTAGGTTGTCCGTCAATAAAGAATACAGATAGCTACAACGCGTCTGAAACGTCTATTAGTATTTTAGTCAGTTCAACCTCATGGCCATCTCCAAGTAACCATGATTTACTGTAGTGAAGAACGGGTTTAGTTGACAAAGTTTCAAACTTTTTTGTTATGGAAGATAATTGGAAAAATATTAAGTAAGAAACTTTAAAACGAAATCTGCTGGATTTAAACTTTTCTGAGCTTTTATTGGGCCTAGTTGTTTTATACATGACGTCTAACAAGGAGTGCACGTGGGCCTAAACTAAAAATTATTTTCAAGTTTCACCATTTATTATAGAACACTTCGGGTTTTCTACCAATGACGTTAAATCAGGAGGAATAAACTGATTTCCTGGTTTTAGTCTGTATTTAGTCTGTTTCAATCGTACAAGTTGTTCTGCTCGCGTGCTTCGCAAAGGGGCAAGAGTACTTCCCGAAATGTACTGTGTAAATAAATGTACTGTTAAATACATGGACACATACAATGGAAATGATACACGATACATCAAAAATACTTTAAATTTCGCCCTTTAATTAAGGTTCGTGCCCTTAGGAGAGGCGTATTGAAAAACTGATAATTTTCAGGGTTTCATATAAAGACCGTTCATTCAAGTATGCGGTTGATAGATGTTCGGCTTACGGGTTCCTAGATATTTCGTGATCCTTATTAGCTTTTTATATAGATGTGTGACAGATTAAAGTGTATAGCAATTAATATACTTAAATAAATGAAATATGTGTTTGGTTTCTTTTTGTTGCCGTGGAAATCAATCAATAAAATAATGATCAGCGGTTGAGTCAGGGTTTAAAGGGTATATTATATATTGGGTGGGGAATAAGACGTAAACCTGTCCAGGTATAAATACTAAAACAATTTCTCAGAGTTTTGTGGTGATTTGAAACGAAATGGTAATGCATGAGCATGAAGTCATGATGCATGAACATGGAGAGCATGAAGAGTTTATAAATATAAATATAAATAAATTAGATTTGTAAAATATAGATCAAATTACCTTCCTAAATTCCCGATATTTTGAAAATCCTAACTGCGCACAAGAGCTTAGAAACGAAATGAACATAAAAACAGCGTCTGCAATATATGTGTGCATTAGTGTCGATGCATTAGCTACAGTTTCATACCATAATGTACTCCATTTCTGAGCTTTCTTCGAAATTACAGGTTTTACTCAATTAAAGTGAAATGACCATAAGATATCCATAAATGTGTGCCTCTTCCTGAGCACTCAGCCAATTGCACTGGTCTACTTTTTACCCATATCATTTATTTCTGGAATTTAAAGTTCATCTTGGCACAGACAAGAAACACATATAGTTTGCCTGTGGTATTAATCAGTGATGATTTTATCCTACTTTTATAGACGTGAAATATAGTTTAGAGCTTGGAAAAATGTAGTTGTAATAGATTTTAACCTACTACATATTCCAAATGATTTTAATCATTGCCTGTCGATCCATTGAGTTTGACGTGATTTTACACCGAAATAAAATGTTAAACTAAAAGGTATAGGAGTAATAAAAAAATAAATAGTAAAGCTAACCCGCTAATCCTATCTCTATAGCATTAGCACCACATTAATGGTCTGTCCAAACTAAAAAATGCCAGAGTTTAGGTCAAATTAATTAAAAAACTTTCTTACAATATGATGTGGTTTCTGATAAAAATAAACAAGATTAAATAACATTAGCCTATTGTTAAAACCACAACCACGAAAAATATAAGTAAAAACTTACATAGTATATGTGGGGGGTGCTTGATGAAGTACTCCTTTGAAGTTCTTGAAGTTCTAGTAGGTCTTGAAGTTCTTGAAGTCATCTTCTGTAAAATCTTGTTATCTCAAACACTTGCTGGCGATCTTTTCTTCGGTCTTCATCAATCTTCGGTCAAACGCTAAGTTAATAAACGGCAATACTTGACCAACTGTGTCCACAGTCGACCACGAAGAACTGTACAGAGTACAAGCGTTCATCAAATTTAATGAACTTTGACACACGTTTAATGTGTATAAGCAGTACCGTAGCTTTTCTTTCAATTTCGTAAGTAGTTTGTGTAAATACAAAACTGTAGGCTATGGCTATTTTTGAAAATTTGTCCTTAAAGGTATACAGGCTGGTTCAAATTTTGTATTTTTCATCTATTAACAAGCGATAAAACAAAACACTAGTTGACGTGTAATAAAATGAAACACTTTGAAAAAACAAATAGTTTCAATTCAAGACTAAAATAAACACTGATGGTATAACTTTAGCTCAAGAGTTTTGAAAATGTCGACAATTCATAGTCAATAACATACCCGTGTCATCAATAAGAAACACATTATTATCCTGGTAAAAATCTAGTAATAGTTTTAACACACCACAAATTTTCCACGGTTCCGAAAAAAATCACTTCTAAAACTCCAAGATTTTCCAGGCCGAACAGTCACTATGCCACAATATAATCTCTACAAAAAGTAATGGAACTTCAAATGCACCAAATCACAACCGTGCAGACGACGGAAGCGCGGGTTTCCTGGTCCTTTTGGCGCGAAGGTAAAGTGAAGAATGAGCTGCGAATCTACTCGCGAGTGAGTGAGAGGTTTGCTGTCTCTCTCGCACAGTGAGTGAGTGTCTCATAACCTCGAATCTCCGTATCGCTTATCAGCTGATCCAGTTCGCTTATTTCACGGGACGTTTCTCTTTCTTTCAGCTGTCGATCGTAGGGTCCCAACAATGCACAAGATGTGTTTATGGTTGTCCCAGTTTTTCCGGTTTCACTGATGAGACGTGCTTTACACGGATTGACGGAATTCCATCTGTGGGAAACCTAGAAGTCCTTGGGGGAATTCATTAATGAAGTATGCATTTGTTGATCAAAGTATTCGTTGATGTGATTCAGAATTAGTGGTGTGTTATTTGATGGTATTTTATGCATATTCCATTATATTTTAAATGAGCAATGGTCCGTGTGAGCAATGGTTGTGTGTAAGGCAATGGTCCGATAATTGTGTGTATTTATACTCAATAAAGATTGTTTGTAGAATTAAACACTAAATCAATGAATACACAATTATTCATTGACTAAAGAGAGATGCAGATTTTACAACAAGATAAGTATACTGTCTTAGAATCTAGACTGTCCTTCCATGGTCGATATAGACGGCCGCGGTAGAAATATTGGTCTTCAAATCCGCTCGGAATTTTCGCCAAGTTCAACAACTCGGTCATCCCGAAGACCACAATAGGTTGAGAGGTATATCTGCAGTATCCATAGTCAATTACGGAACCGGCACCTTATCCGAAGTGTCGTCTGGTGTATTGTTTCGCGAAGGAAGAATCCTGTTTTTGTCAGATTCACTGGACCAGTTAATTAGTGGTACGCGACCTTCCTAGCTGTTAGAACAGTGGGAAAGCTTTACTAATTACATTTCCTCCAACCTCGCCAAACAAAATGTAGGAAAACTCACTTAAATGTCGATCGCAATCGTAGACTATTATTTGGAGGGAATTTTTGGGGTTGGCAAATTAGGTACCATACGTACATTAGTGTAGTAAGTATTTATTTTATGAAGGTATTCTTACATTTACATGATTATTTATTTTTTAAATTTTAATATACTAATAATATACCGGGGTCTAGTCGGAAAAAGTATAGGTACACTACACCCTTACACTCCCTGGTTTTGAGAGCCCCTCTTCTGAGCATACCAAATCGGTATAGTCCAGTCAGTAACGGATACAAAGAGTGAACTGTGTATTCATGCCATACAGCACCGATTTGTATGAAGATTTGTATTTAGGTTCTACTTCAACTGCCCCTCTATTTCAAAATCCACCCTGTGCCAGGGGTTACTTTTTCCCGGGGGGTGATGCCACCTTTTCTAGAGAGTGGAAATTTTTTCATTGAAAATAATTAAATGTGGAATTCGAAATTTACTAATTTAAAGCAACTTTTACAATAAACGTCATTGTTCTGTAAGTCAATTCTTTTCGTCTTATGTACGAGTAAAGTTTATGGTTTTCAGGCAAAGAAAAGAGATTTTAAAAAACTCGTTGACAAACGGATTTTCACGAATAACTGGGGAAATATGAATTTTATTGAAAAACTAGCAGAGTACCCGTCTTTCGTCCGGGGTTGATGTATGTTTAGATCCGAAATTAAAAACAGTGTAAAATAAAATTAAATTCCAATAAATGTATCCAAATACATATAACAAACTTTTAACTCACTAATTACATAAAAAAGGCATTTTCAAACAATAAAAAAATGAAAAACTCAAAGCTTTTACTTACTTTTAAATGATAAAATCAAACATAGACAAACAATAATTTACAACATCTGGTTAATATTACGGTTTGAATGAAATGAAAGATGTGATCTTGCTTCTAAAAAGCATTGCTCACTTAGCATTGATTATAAAAAACATCTCATTATATACTATGTGAACAAACAAAAACATGTACACTCTTACTACTTAAACAAACAGAAACATACTAACCCTACTATTTATAGCTCCTACTATTCATGCACCAAAGGCAAGTGGATATACAACTTAATTTTTATTTTTATTTGTAATTAAAATATTTGTATAAAACATCATAACTAATCTATGGGTAGTAATATGAAATTATGATTCAACAATTTTTTTAAAGGCAAATGGTGTGAACGATATTTTTCTCAAAATGGCGAAAATATACAATTAATTATCTCCTTGAGATAAAAGTTTCAATTTTTAAGGTGTGTGCCATACTCTAAACACATGTTAAGTGTTCAAAAATGTTAAAATGATTCAAGTAAATGTGAAATTTATAATTTCACTATTTGTTACGCCAAAATCTTTCAATACAATCATTCACATTAGCGAAATTTTAAATAATTAATAAGGGTTAGATACAGCAACATATATACAATCTCACTTATTTCATAAAATCAATAATCAATAATGAACCATCAAATATAAGAATAACATGTCACATGATTGTAGAGAATATGACTCGCCTTTGGCTCGCTAAATGAGCCACGGGGGACAGGGCGCAAGATCTACAACCGTGCCAAATTTCAGTTATAAGTTAATCTAGAAATGAGTAAACGTTATTTAGACTTATGCACCTGTAAGAATAACATTGGGGGGAGGGTTTGATATTTCGGGGGGGGGGGGGGTTGTATTTGTAAAATTTAACTTTTCTTAATGGGCGCAATAACTAAAATCGTGCAAAATTTTAGATTTTCACCTGATCTAGAAAACCCTTTTCCAAATTATTCATTGGTTTCAAAACAAATACTAGGAACCGGAAAGATTTGAAGTCCATTGTCCCGATGAAAGACAGTGGTTTAAGAACTGTAAGGGTGGGGAGGTTATTATTTGTTGAGGGGGTGGGGTACGTATTAAAAAATTCTTAATTCCTTTGATATAGGAGTTTATTGAATAGGAGGGTTTGAGTTATAGAAGTTTAAAAACACTTGTTATGTCGTTTTCAGAAGTCCGCCATTTTTTTAAGGGAGGGGGGGGGTTAATAATAAAGAATGGGACTTTTGGAACTTTTCTTGTTAATTTCATGTAACATTGTACTTTAGTAATAACAGTTATAATACAGTAAACTTTGTATAGTTTTAATAACCGTCTACATGTAGAATAGGTCAAGAGTCTGTTATAACCTCGTAAAAGTGGTGAAAACTTTTAAATTTCAACAATATAAGAATAACATGTCACATGATTATAGAGAATATTATATATGCCTATTTATAAACCAGCTGTGGAATTGTGAATTAATGTGGTTTGACAGTTCAGCTTGTTTACATTTGGGTGGCAAAGCAAATTGCAAACATTTATGTGTTCTCATGGCAGCCATGGAGACCAATCAATATTTAATTTTAAAATCCTCACCTCAGAACTTTTAAAGCCAAAGGGGCAAAGCCCACGGTCAGTATCGAAGTGTGAATAGTCCTATAATGGTCCTTGGTATGGTAACTATATTTTTTTATAATTTAAGCCCAGTCAGTTCAGTAGTTTATGCGCCTATTAGTAACACACATACAGACAGACACCACAAGATTTTTATATAATAGTATAGAAGATATAGATAGGTGGATGTAAGTGCTGGGGGAGTAGTGGGATCTTCTAATCAGCTGTTGATGTGTATGTAAATCTTTCCCAGCAGCTCAGTACAGTCCTACAGTCCAGTAGGCCGTTACTATTGTGTAAAGTAATTAATCAAGTAACGGCGAGAAGTCAAAAGCTGGCCTATCTGATCGATGTCAACTTAGGTGTAGTGAAACCCCATCTTGACTACAATCAATCCAAGAAAACGATGCTGGACCTTTTCGAGTTCGTTTATCAATCCCAGTTGGTAAGGGGACCACACAGATGTATTGCATTCCCAAATTGAGCAAAAGTGAAAGAGACTAAGACCATCAAAACCACCAAGAACCATTAAAAAACTACATACGTTTCTCAAGATCGAAAAGTATGTTGGATGAAGCATTTATATGACCTAATTTATTTTGTAAATACTACAGTTTAAGCCCGTTTTTCTCCTTTTTTGATAGTGCTCAAATTGTATTTACTTTACTCTGCATGTAATAAAAAAAAACTTTTGTATGTAATGTTAAGATAGATTAAGTCATCTTGTAAATTAGTTCTTGACCGTTTTGGAAGGTAAAATAAAAGAAAATAATAATAATAAATAAGCCATACCTAGTCCTTTCACATGTCCTCTTTGGCAGTGGGGTACAGAAGATTCATTAGATAGTCTATTAGTCTATGGTTTATGACCTAAAACATGTTCTATAGATTTATGTGTGGCTCCGTTTTTGGAAGAGTTTTTCCTTATTTCTTTATTGATCTCAAGATTCCATTGTTCCGGGGATTATCCCTTCGGCCCAGTTTTTAACATTAGCTTGACTTTTCCAGCAAAGTCTTCATTACTTTAGCATACTCCGGAAAGTTCCGAAACCTCAACGATTCTGTAATTTCAATCGGGTCCGAATTCACTGGAACATCGAATAGTTTCATCTTGGGGGGTTTCTTGGCTGGTTCACGGGTCTGTAGGTCATTGACTATCTTATTTCTAATTTCTTGGAATTGGATATTTATACATTTAATTTGCCACTTCTACGTTTCTAATTTTAGAAATGCTCTTGAATTTTAAACCTTCTTGTTAAAACCAGGCTTTATGGTACTCTTTATTGTATCTTTGGTTTCTTCAGAGGTCTGCTGAGAATTTTCTTCAAGCGGGTGAATCTGCAGGGCTTTGGTTTGATCCTCAGCAAGTCTGTGCCGTGCTATAGCTGTGGGCGGCTTTGGCTACGCCAGCATATGACATGTTGCTTGTAGTTTCTTGCATTATAGATTCTTTTACATCATTGCTAACTCAAGTGAGAGTGTCACTTGTGTTTGGTTGTCTTGTTCTTTGATGAGAGTTCTTATTTTAATTAGCTTGCTCCTTGTACTCTACACGTAATTCAACGAATCGTCTGTACATTTAAGAAACACTTCAGTCAGGTTTTCCATGTGCCCTCAGATTTTCTCGGCTTGACATTAGGTGATGGTTTTATTGGTTCTAATGGCACATCTTATGGAGTCATCTCAGGTCGACTATTGTCTGCTGGCATTCTTCTGCCAGGGCGTTGATTTTGGCTGTAGAGCCCAAAATATCGGAATGTTCAATTTCTGGCACATCATCACTACTCGTCTCAGAAATGGTTTGTTTCTGGGCTAGCTTGAAAGCTCTCTTTTTTGTCTCAACGATTTGGAAATTTTTTATCTATTATCTTCAATTTTGTTCTGATGAGGAGCTTCCATCTTTTTATTTAATTGTAGAGGTTCTTGTTCTAGATAAATCAGAGTATTTCTCCTTGTCCTACTGTGTGGGGTTCTTGAAAAGCTTTTCCTTGGCTGAAAGATTTCTTGGTGCGCCATTCATTAGAATAAGTGTGCATGCTGATTATTGTTAGGCGAGTGCTATCTGATGATTAGATAGTAAGATTTCCAACTACTGCCCTGTTCATGAATGTTTACGCTTTTTATACGTAATATTACTTCATCTATGGGCGTATCTTGGATTTTATTGTCCCCCTCCAGGGGCCCATTTCATAATAAACTACAAACTAATATTATTAGTAAATCATCTGATCGCCCAATGCAAATCTAATGGAAATTACAAAGTAGTTTATTATGAAATGGGCCCCAGGTGTTGACCTAGACTAGACTTCGTTTCCGATAGCATCAACATGGTGGTATGGTGGTAAGGCAGCCAGCAGTGGAAGGATAGCAGGTGCAATAGTTAGATTTGGGGTGCACACAGTTTGCGTTTGAGTGGCCCAAAAGTTATACTCAAGAGTGGATGTAAACACGCTCAGTGAGTGAATGTTTCTCTCAGCTACATAGCAATTGATGGTTTCCAAAAGAAAATATTCAAACAATTAAACCTAATTCTCTACATACGGTATATGGTTTCGCGATTTAAAACGTGTGGTATACTCGCTTTACTCATTGTGGCCTATTAATGTGGAAAAATATTGCAAATGTCTTGATAATGATGTGTGTAGATGGGGTCACAATTTTTGTAAAATACTTTATCCGACCTAAAGGGGGCTCCCATCAACTGCACGACCAAACCCAGCAGGGTCAAGCAAGTACTAAAGAAGGTCCATCTGAGATTCACTCGACAGCCATGGTTAGTAAGTACTGTCATAGATAAAAACATGCTACTGTATTCAAGACGATCTATTCCAAACTCATCACTGGTTATGTTTTAACACTGTATAATACGATAATACTCATCCTATTCAAAGATCATACTGACGCCAAAAGCTTGGGGCCTGATATGTTATACTTCAACCATAATATTTTATATAATGTACATTTGTTACATTTTCATACATACATACTTTACATATAACGACGTAATATAAGTGCTTTATGCAGCCGTGGCAAATTTGATTTCAAATGTATGATGGCTGTGGATTTGCAAATGGCGTTTGTGTTGATTATTTTTCTTGTCTAAATTATTCAATCATTTCTCTGGTGCGGATTAGGTTGGATTATCAGTGGTGGAACAGTAATTGCATTGTAGATTGTGCCGGTTCTAGTGATTATTAGTGAATTAAAATGAAAAAAATCCGCAGATGATAATTGGTAAGTACATTTAGCCTCTTTTGAACCTAACTTTGTACATATTAATATCATAGACCAACTAGTATTTGAGTTGCTTTCGTTGAGAGGTGTGACGAGACCTGTGACTACTGAAGTAGGGCCTATGTATGTTTTATATCTAAATACCTAAAACTAATTCACACTTTAATTATATTTACCTACATAGGTAAATCAAACTTGTGATGTAGGCTATAGGCAGGCCTAGCCTATCTAAGGCGACCCTAACTCTTCAATAGACTAACTTAAATATGTCTCAATTTTGTCTTGTAGAGGCATAGGCTTAACGTTTAGTGTTGTTTGTAGGCTAGAAGTTGGAAATAAACTTAAGCTTAGGCCTTGTCTATATAATAATAGGCCGAAGTTCAATTGTAATGTTGGATGGTAGGGCCTAAATATATTGAGCTTACTTTAGGACTAATCTTAACATACATTTCGTTTTGTGGACAGGAGGACTAGCCTAGGCCTAGTTAAATTAACATAGGGTGTAGCCTATCACTGTAACTTAGGACTGATTTTTGTCAGATTTCATGATAATTTCTAGGCTAGGCCTACTTCAAATTAAACTAATTTGACTAGGCCTAACAGGCCTAGGCTACCTATTCATGATATGCCCATTTAGGGGTAGGCTTAGGTAGGGGACAGTCCCATATAGAATCTGCTATTATAAGTTTAAGTTGTATTACTAAGTTGTATTACCTATCAATTTGCTAAAATATCAAAAGGCCCAACTTAATTTAAGTTATCATAGCCTAGTGTAAATCAATTTTGATTGGGTTTGGTCCTATCGTTATTAGGCATAGGCCTAGGCCAAAATATAAGTTTAATTTTTTATAAACATTGAATTGAGGGTAAGTTAAGTTAAGTAAAATTTATGCTAGGCTATTTAGTAGGTACGGTAATGCGGAATAAAACTCTGCATGCGCCCGCTCCCGTTATACTGGTGAAGTGCCTCCTCGAGGGTTGACAGGTCTATAACTTAATTGATATATTGAACCGAAGAAGTTTCGATATAGGCTAGGTTTATCGTTATTCATCCGATAATATATCGTAGGCTCTGCGGAACTGTAGTCGCCATTATTTTTGATAAACTTATTGTCTGTTATTGTGCACACTGAATCTGACAATTGCAATTAGTTTTTGTTGGAAAGACTCCTAAGTTTAAGTAGGCTACCTTAATTGTAAAAAGAAGTTAACAATTTACGCATCTGAGGTCCATTGGACTGGGACAGTGGCGTCGTCCTGTAATCCAGCTACTAGGAGGTCACAAATTGTGGATATTTATAGTGATGCATTTTGGATGCAATACTCCCTGGTGTGGATTAACGTCCGCACTAGTGAGTACTAAGACTATCTGCACTATCCTGATAATTCGACCAACTCGTTAATACCAAGGCAAGAATGTGGTTTGGATTCTACTATTAAAAAAACTGTTGGTCCCTTAGTTGCCATAAGCTGTTTGTGCTATTAATTAACAGCTGTGCCTAAGGAATATGTCGGCCTTAGTCACTAACAAGACTACAAGATCGCGCCACTCATCCTACACTCATCCTTCTTATTTGGGTTAAAATACGCACATAATGGGTCCCCATCTTAAATACTACAGTACTGTACAGTACAGTACGTTTCGAATGGTAATATGGTTGTTTGGATGATCCATATGGACTTTGGAGAGCAAACAACTGTAAAATCAACTTCATGCACCATTGAATAGATTTGTTCCATTGTATCAGCCACTTTTAGAAAAACCATTTTGAAAATTTCAAATAGGCCTATGCGTAAAAACAGAAAGTTTTTTTTTATTTATAGGCCTAAGAAACGATTTTAGTATTATTCTTTTTTTGGACTTAAATCTGTTTATAAAGTGAATAGGCTACCGTACCGGTAATAGAAATGGGACCTCTTGTTATTATGGCAAAATAACATTAAGCGACAAGAGGTACCTTTTCTCAGACCATGCAGAGGCTAACAAAATTATTTATTTTGACCTTTTACATCTTCAATTCAATATTTTAACCGATACTGTCCTATTCTAAGTGAGGCACCGGTATAACAATCGATAAAAACCCTAATTTATATATTTTTGACCTTAATTACTTACATTAGGCTTACTTATATGGGCTGTACTGAAAATTTTGTATCCCCGACAAGTGGTCCTTTTTCGCTTTCCACATCACATATTATTATTTTATTTATTTATAAAATGAATAGGCTGTAGGCCCCTACCTCTATTGGTTGAAACTACTCCAACGTTTTTTTTTTAAGTGAAATTGTTAACTTTGGATATTGTAGGCCTAGATAGCCTAGCCTTATAGGCATTTCATTAGGGTAAATTATAAACTTTGTTATAATTTTTTCCCCATTTACAATTGGACTGTAGGCTAATCAATTGGTTGGATTAATTTAGTGTTACAAACTTTTTGTAGACTTCCTAAGTTATGGGCTCAATATTGCTATTTGATCATATGATTCGTTTAGGTTTCCTCCCTCTTTTTAAGATATTAGCTTAGACGAAAAGAATTAAATATAGACTGTCAGCTCTGCTGTAGTTATCATAGGTTCTGGCGCACACTGCTGGGAGTGCCATGTAGTTACGGCGTACACGTTACCTAACAACACGGTGCTGCCAGCGGTGTGCGCCTGAACCTATGGTAACCACAGCATGGCTGATGGTTTATATTTAATTCTTTTGTCTATGATATTTAGTTACCGGTATTCAATGAATGAAAGCAGTTAATTTGAATGCAAATTTCCTCTAAATTTGATGACCGCTTTAATTGAGCACACACTATGAATGACAGCAGTCAATTTACACCATGAAAACTTAAAAGTGCAAATACTATGACAAGATTATCATCCTATAATGGGACTGGGAACATGCTAGAATTTCGATGAAGTAAGGAAGTACCTATATCATAGGGTTAAATCCATATTGTCAATACAAATTGTTTGAGGATTCAGTTTTTCCCCAGTTTGTTAACCTGTGCTACTACATTGCTGCTATTGTTACCTGTCCCTATTTTTTATAATCCTAGCCGGGCAAGTGAAAGTTTGCGTTTTGGTACTACCCATATCGAGATTTGGGATCCAGATTTTGGGTTCCAGTTTTGAGATTTGAAATTTCTGATATTCGTTCTCCTAATCGGTAACCCTACTCTAAATGAATTTTCCTTATGCGAATCTCTTCTCATATCTAGATTTAATTAGAATTTATTATTCTAAAATAATATGTAGGACAACCGATTTTGATTGTCTGGGGAATGTCTAAAGTTTATGAATCTAACTCGAGGCAGCTTTTATAAACGGGCTCGGGCCCAGGGGCGTGAGAGTTTTAGGCCCCTTTTATGCACCAACGGTCGCTGCACTGCGGTGGCTGCTGAGATTCTATAAGTACATTGACTCAAATGGGTGCTTTTATGCAAATTTCGCAGACGCATGTTTGTTGCTGTGTCATAAAAACTGCAGACACAGTGCATAAAAGGGGTCTTAAGTTATTGCCTTAGGCAAGGAAGAGAAATATTTCCTCACAAGTTGTGGTAGGTGGAGAGATGCTCAATTATCTGTTGTGCCCATAGCACATCTCGCAAACCGCGAGCTTAAAGAGACAAACATGAGGAAAATATGCTTTCTTGGCCATATAAATGCAGAGACAGGATGCTGCTCTTCATCAAACAGCTCAAGTTCTAAGGCCGGGCTAAGGTACTGATTGAGGAAAGCAAAAAGTTCACAGACTAAGTAGGCCCCTGACTCATCGTATCAATCCAATGACCACCCAAATGATCCTTTCCTTCCATAGACAACTTGCATCCATGAACCTAGATAAAGATCATAAAATCTGCTGGTTAGTTATAAGAAAATGGATACTAAAAGTTACTAAAACACCTGGAAAACAGTTTTCAAAGGTTTACAAATGCTCTTAAGTGTCAGAAAAATTATCAGAAGCAAACCATCACCTTTTGTTAACATAAAAATAGTAGTCTGTAAAATAAAGTATAGAGACAAACAAAGTAATGATCCAAAGACTGATTGCTATCAACAACGTGAGTCTAATTCGGTAACTTTAGAAAGTATATGCGTACTTATTATAAGAAACTTAAATATTTTCTGCAAGCGAAGCTTGGCCATCACAACTAAAAGATGAAGAGTCAACCACAAGGGTCAACACATGCTGCAGATGACAGTTGTGACCAATCACTCATTAATCCTTGTTTACCCCTCACACTTGACCTTCAAATGTACCGTCTCCAAACAAGTAGCCCAAATATGGCACAACAAATAAGATTAAGTTAGCCTTGTTGTCATATGCAGGCCTATGAATATATTTAGTTAGGCTATTGATTATAAGCCTAGACAACAGTTTTTACTTTCTCCTCCTATACGTAATAGGCTATAAGGAGAAACTATTTTTGTTGTCCAAACTTTTGAGTTTGAGTTTTGGGTAGGAATTCAGTTTTGAGTTTCGCTCAATCTAAAAAAGTGGTTTGTGTCTCTGTCTCTAAGGTCTTCCTGTGGTCAGATTTTTTTAAAATATTTGGCATGTGGGCGAACTAATATTTTTCAAGAGTGGATTTTTTCCACTTTAAAAAAATTATGAATCTAATCATTGACTATATAAACACTAGTGTTGTATAGTCAATGATCTAATGGTGATTTTTCTATAAAACTCCATAAAATAGAAAAACTTTTTTAACAAAAAAATGTTTCCAACAATTTTGATTGTAATTTAGATTTTTAGTTATTTGAAACCTGAATAAAATGGCTTCAACCCCCAACACTGTAAATATCATGGTTCAAAAATTATCAGAATGTTTGTGATCGCCCCCCCCCCCCCCCCCATAAAACCCACAAACTTCAGTGAAATTTTATAGCAACAAACCACGTCCGTGATACAATTTGTTGTGGAGTTTGGTATGTTGGTACTAATCCAAGATCTTCTAGCACTTTTTAAATTTGATATTGTATAAATTAGTTTTCAATATATAGTT